CTAGAATAAGAATAGATCTGCTTGCTGAACCAAAATTATGCACAACACCCTATCTGCAATAGGAAAAAGCTTAATGAAATGTTGGGAGTAAGGGAAGGGGATACTGACTGTATGGCATACAAGGCTAAATTTGAACACCAGAGGGCGGTAGGGCATTTTCTCATTTGAAATACAGTCTAAATTCTTGCTGTAAAAAAGCATTTGAAATCAACCACCTTTACTGAATGGCCACTGTGGGCAGACCCTTGAATAATACATTGAGGAAATTTCTTAAGAAATAATATATACAGCTCATAAGATTTAAAATGCAATAACTTTTATATCCACCACAGAATATATGTTTTCTTAAGTCAATGCTTCCTAAATCAGTTAAAACCAAAGTTACTAATGTTCATGCCTCTTCTAGAATCAGACTATAATTTACTGAGTGGCATTCTACTTTCTTTGTCCAAATTCTTTCTGAATAAATGACAGTGACTAAATTAGTGCTAATTCTCTTCTCCAGTATTCAACCTGCTTCACATCATAGTTTTCAGAAAATCACTTTTTTTTTTCTTCATGTGAAGAAATACAAGCAAAATTTTAGAGCTAGAAAGTAGAAAAGATCATGTAAACTAACTTTTTGTACCTCTTTATTTTGTGGATGAAGCAGCTGAGAAGAGAAATATCTTCCTAATATCACACTATTTTCAAGTGCTACATTGATCAATATAGTAGCGATTAGCCACATGTTGCTATTTAAGTTTAAATTACAATAAAATAAAATTTTAAAATGCAGTTTCTCAATTTCACTGCAAATGCTCAATATAGCTACATATGACTAGTGACTACTGTATTATTCAGACAGATACCAAGCATTTTCCTCTTTGCATAAAGTTGTTTTCATTTAAAAAAAATATACATTTATCTTAACCACATTGTAATTTATGTTTAATTACATTGCCTAATTCCAATGTAAAAAAATTGTGTCTTATCCATAGACTTCTTTGGAGTATTTTCACAAGTCTACTCCCCCATCTTCATTTCTATAGCCACTACTGCAATAGGCTTTTATCATTTCAGATTCTTTGGTATGATCACTGTAAGAGCAGTCAATGCTGGAGAAATTTTTGCTCCTGTAATTCAATAATAATAATAACTAACATACATTAATTACTACCAACTACCAGGCCCTTTATATACACCTTACATGCAAAATTGCATATAATTTTTTTAACTTTTATTTTAGGTTTAACAGTACATGTGCAGGTTTGTTATACAGGTAAACACTTGTCACTGGTGTTTGTCATGCAGATTATTTTATAAAGTTCTTTAAAACAGTGCTAAACCAGAGAAAGAGCTGGAGTAAAACCAGATCTCTTGAGAAGATGTGCCAAAGAAATTGAGCCAGAAAAGTGAGGTGTCAAGCAAACACAAAGAAAAAGAAAGTTTCAAGAAGGAAATAATACATCAGGAGTGTTAAGCAGATGGAAAATGAAAAGAGTTCATTGATTCTGGTGTTTCAGGAATCTCGTTAAATAACTATATACAGTGCTTCTCAAATCCCAGGATCCTGACATAATATTCTGATTTTCCAGAAAGATAAAATAATTGTAACAAAATGAAGTGTACTAAATTGTAAGACAAAATTGTACGTAATATCAATTAATTAGCATTGACACATGTCCAATTTTAATTTTTTGTCATGTAAACTTTACAAAACGCTTGTGAAATTAAAAACTGGAGGAAAGCTAAACTAATATGGCACCTTATAAGGACATTGGCCACTACCTCAGTGGTACACAAGCACTGTGTACCCTCTGCAAGGTATTTTATTCACATTAAATTCTCATATTGGTGACCCAGGCAACAGCATTAAACTGGAAAGAGCCTAAGGCCAAATACCAGAGTAAAATGAAAGAACAAATAGGATGAATGTAGAAACATCAACTATTAAAGACCAGGAGTTTGTTTCACTGTACTGACGACTTTAAGATTAACAGACGAGCTTCAGACAAGTTCACAGATCTTATGAAACTACATACAAAGCTTTCTAGGTTTGGGCATTTGTTTCTTTTTCTGTAGATAGAGTGCATAGCATATCTGTAGTTTTGTTGAATGGGAAGATTTGAAAATAAAGAAAAAAAGGTGAAAACTAATTGAGCAAGGTCCATGAGGAAGCAGGTAAGAAAAGGAATCGGGAAGAGAGGGAGAAGTAAATCTTCCCTCTCAGAGTTACAAAAGCCTGAGTTTTGGTCATTAAAGTGAAGAAAGGCAGATAGGCAGAGAAACGGTCTTGAATAATCAGATCATGGAGGCCTGAAAAATTGTTTAGAGACCTTCACATTTCTTCTTGATTTCTCTCAAGCTTTCTCCAAATATTTTTTCCTTTATATAGTCGCTATATAGAAAACTGTATCTCTAAAACCATATAATACATTGTATAGAATATATCTATAAACATTGATTATAAACTAATTTATCAATAAATACTAAGTAAGCACTTAAGCTGACTGTGATCAGTGCTATGTTTTAATATTCTGGTCTTGTACCAAGACCAGAACCCTCCAAAAAGAGATCTAGATGCAGTATAACTGTAATGTTTGAAAACATTTAGTATGTTTGAGAATCTCCTTTCCTTTGTTGCTCATGTTACATACATCATTTATTTTCCACCTCTCTCCAGCCTGTCCAAAGTCCTCATTGTACTTTACGATAAGCAGTCACAGTTCCTAGGTAGCCTGTCTAATTATGATGCAGTGCTATTTTCCTCTAGCTTGTCCAGATTAATTTTACTCTAAAGTATATATTTGGAAACCATTGTTATTCTATTATTGTTTTGATTGTCCCGAAGGACTCTATTATCAAAAATCCAAAAATAAGTAAAATGTGACATTTTTAAGGTAATTACCATCTTGAAGAGCCCTATTGCATCATGTAGTCTTTCTAATTACTTTAGACATATGTACTGTACATTATTATCTTTTTTTACAGATGACTTAATATATGCAACAATTCTTGAGTCTCCAAAGCTCATAATTTTAGCTGTTCGCTCCTACAGTCTATCAGTCAAAAACAAATAAACATATATCTGAGTGTCTAAAACACTGAGACCTCCTGGTAAGAAAGAGATACATTCTCCGTCTCCTCCAGTGTCACACTCTGGGAAGAAAGTACAATTAAACAAATAGTGACAAAATGAATAACTTAGTTATAAATGTAATATGAAAGCCCATAACTTGGCCAGCTAACTCAGTCTGGTAGGATGCAGCAAAGGATTCCTTAAGGACTTTAAAAATGGACAAACAATTGAAAAGAAAATACAGCAAGAGGCAAAATAGCTTGAGATACTTTTGGAGAAGTCCCTGACTCATGATTAAGTAATAATTAATTCTTCCATGCTTTTGTATAAACAGAAGAAACATATTAGTATGTTGAAGAAAAATCCTAATTTCTTTGTTTGTAAACATTCTGGAATAATGGATTTAGATGATCAGTTTTTTTATCCCAGCTGGTATTTGTTGTGCAGACAGATGCTGTTGCTCCTCCTGGAGCATTTCATTCCAAGTTGACTGAGGAGTCCTTCAAGATTTGTTCCTCCCTAAGCTATGATATTGAGGGAGGAGTCCTGAAGGACAATTCTATTCTGTTTCCTTGAAGAAGGCAATTCGTTTTGGGAGAGGGGAGAGAGTTGCCAATGCAGGGGAGGTGATAAGGTAAGGTCTGTAACTCATCCTGAGGGCTCAGCTGAATGGAGGGGTGGGCTTTGGAAGGAGGATGGAAGGAGATTTCTTGGGTTATAGCTATAAATGCAATATTGATTTAACAAAAGAAAAGCCTATTCATGATCTGGTTATTTTTCTGGAAATTCACCTCATACCTGCTGAGGTGAAAAGATGGGGATACCCTCTATTTGTAGAGCCACCTCTTGAATTGCTGTTTTGTGAAATATATTACTCCACGTTTATTTTTTTTCAGGTGGATTAAGAGATAAAGCATCAATCAGGACAAAAGTTGGGACATTGTTTATTATTTTCATGTTGGTGTGATTGTGGCCTAAAAATTATATATTTATTTTCAATTTATTTTTATGTTTTATTCAGGTAAAACATGAACATAGTTTAAAAAGTTAAATAGTCCTAAAAGACATAAAACTCTCTCATCTTCCTGAATTCTCTTCCTGATAACCACTCATTTCAATCGTTTTAGTGATTTCACCTGTAATGTTCTACCACATTTACAAAAAATACATAAAAACTGCTGTCTTCTAATTCATCCATATGAGATATTATCTATCACATTTCTATTATATAAAATGAACATTTTACCTCTCATTCATTCACTTTCCATGCAGTCATTCTGCCATGTGGTTATATGACACTGATTAAGTCCACACTGGTTATTTTCATAATTATGATTCTGTTGAGTCAGAGAGTACTGTAATCATATTTCTTCAAATATATAGGTGTATATATAGATGTATTTGTTTTTCTTAGAGTTAATATTTGGATAACTTTTTAAATGTATTTTTTTTTTAACCGTTGGCCAAGTATCCTCACACCTTTCATTTCTGTAATACACCATGTTCCTCCACCTCCAATCTGCAGCGAGTGCCCTTGGAGCCTCCTGTGCATCTCCCTGTTGGCACATCCATTCACATCATGAGGAAATGCCTCTTTGCATTTCTCATATATTGAAATCCTGTTCATTTGATACCAGGAACTGTTTCATTTTGCTTCCTCTTTGGATATATTACACTTTCCAATAACTTATTTAGCAAGAATACATAAAGGTGAAAAAGTGAACATAAAATACATTTTGGGGAACTTCCATGTTTAAAAATTATTTGTAATCTCTCATATTGATTTGTGGCCTGAATGTGTATAGAATTCTAGATTAGAGATAAATTTTGTATAGAAATTTAAATATGCCACTCCATTGTCTTCTGGATTCCAATGCTGCTATTGATATGTTTGATATCATTTATAGCCCAGTCCCTTGTTCTTGTTTTTAATCTACAGACTTCATTGGAATCTCGCTAGTGCCCATCAGTGCCATTTTTCTGGTTCAAGATCCATTTCAGGCAATCTGGCAAGATGGCCGAATAGGAACAGCTCCAGTCTGCAGCTCCCAGCAAGACCAACGCAGAAGGCGGGTGATTTCTGCATTTCCAACTGAGGTACCCAGTTCATCTCATTGGGATTGCTTAGACAGTGGGTGCAGCCCATGGAGGGCGAGCAGAAGCAGGGTGGGGCATTGCCTCACCTGGGAAGTGCCAGGAGCCAGGGGACCTTCCTCCCCTAGCCAAAGGAAGCTGTGAGGGACTGTGCTGCCCTGCCCAGATACTGTACTTTTCCCGTGTTTTTTGCAATCTGCAGATCAAGAGAGTCCCTCGTGTGCCTCCCTGGGTATCGAGCACAAAACTGGCCTGCTGTTTGGGCAGACACTGAGCCAGCTGTAGGAGTTTTTTGTGTGTGTATTCCCCAGTGGCACTTGGAACCCCAGCAAGACAGAACCATTCACTCCCCTGAAAAGGGGACTGAAGCCCGGGAGACAAGTGGTCTCATCAGCAGGTCCCACTCCCATGGAGCCCACAAAGCTAAGAACCACAGGCTTGCAATTCTCACTGCCAGCACAGCAGTCTGAAGTTGACCTGGGATGATGGAGCTTGGTAGGGGGAGGGGCATCCACCGTTACTGAGGCTTTAGTAGGCGGTTTCCCCCTGAGAGTGCTAAGGAGGCTGGGAGGTCTGGACTGGGTGGAATTCACCACAACGTGGCAAAGCAGCTGTCGTCAGACTCCGTCTTTAGATTCCTGCTCACTGGGCAGGGCAATTCTGAAGAAAAGGCAGCAGCATCAGTCAGGGGTTTACAGATAAAAGTCCTATCTACCTGGGACAGAGCACCTGGGAGAAGGGATGGCTGTGGGTGCAGCTTCAGTGGACTTAACCTTTCCTGCCAGCCAGCTCTGAAGAGAGCAGCTGATCCTGACAAGGAGGATTCTCCCAGGACAGCATTCAAACTCTGCTAAGGGATAGATTGCCTCCTCAAGTGGGTCCCTAACCCCCATGCCTCCTGACTTGGAGAGACCTCCCAAAGGGAGTCAACAGATACCTCATACAGGAGAGCTCCAGTGGTATTAGGCGGGTGCCCCTCTGGGACGAAGCTTCCAGAGGAAAGAGCAGGCAGCAATCTTTGATGTTCTGCAGCCTCCACTGGTGATACCCGGCTAAACCATCTGGAGTAGACCTCTAGCAATTTTCAGCCAACCTGCAGAAGAGGAACCTGACTATTAGAAGAAAAACTAACAGGCAGCAACAACATCAACATCATCAAAAAGGACCCCCACAAAAAACCTCATCCAAAGAGCATCAGCCTCAAAGATCAAAGGTAGATAAATCCACAAAGATGAGGAAAAACCGGCACAAAAATGCTGAAAATTCCAAAAAGCATAATGCCTCTTCTCCTTCATATGATCACAACTTCTCTCTGGTAAGGGCACAAAACTAGATGGAGAATGGAACTGATGAATTGAGAGAAGTAGGCTTCCAAAGGTGGGTAATAACAAACTCCTCTGAGCTAATGGAGCATATTCTAACCCAATGCAAGGAAGCTAAGAACCTTCATAAAAGGTTACAGGAACTGCTAAGTAGAATAACCAGTTTAGAGAGGAACATAAATGACCTGATGGAGATGAAAAACACAGCACAAGAACTTTGTGAAGCAGAAGCATACACAAGTATCATTAGCTGAATCAATCAAGCAGAAGAACGGATATCAGAGATTGAAGATCAACTTGCTGAAATAAGGTGTGAAGACAAGAGTAGAGAAAAAAAGAACAAAAAGGAATGAAAAAAGCCTCCAAGAAATGTGGGACTATGTGAAAAGACCAAACTTACGATTGATTGGTGTACCTGAAAGTGACAGGAAGAATGGAACCAAGTTGGAAAACACACTTCACAATATTATCCAGGAGAACTTCCCCAACATAGCAAGACAGGCCAACATTCAAATTCAGAAAACACAGAGAACACCACTAAGATACTCCTCGAGAAGAACAACCCCAAGACACATAATCATCAGGTTCTCCAAGGCTGAAATGAAGGAAAAAATGTTAAGGACTGTCAGAGAGAAAGGTCAGTTTACCTACAAAGGGAAGCCCATCAGACTAACAGCAGATCAGGCTGCAGAAACCCTAAAAGTCAGAAGAGAGTAGGGGCAAGTATTTAACATTCTTAAAGAAAATAATTTTCAACCCAGAATTTCCTATCTAGCCAAACTAAGCCTCATAAGTGAAGGAAAAATAAAATCCTTTACACACAAACAAATGCTGAGAGATTTTGTCACCACCAGGCCTGCATTACAATAGCTCCTGAAAGAAGCACTAAGTATGGAAAGGAAAAACCAGTACCAGCCACTGCAAAAACACACCAAAATATAAATACCAATGACATGACACTATGAAGAAACTGCATCAACTAATGTGCAACATAACCAGCTAGCATCATGATGACAGGATCAAATTCACTCATAACAATATTAAACTTAAATGTAAAAGGGCTAATATCCCAATTTAAAGACATAGACTGGCAAATTGGATAAAGAGTCAAGACCCGTCAGTATGCTGTATTCAGGAGACTCATCTAATGTGCAAAGACACACATAGGCTCAAAATAAAGGGATGGAGGAATATTTACCAAGCAAATGGAAAGCCTCCCCCCACCCCGAAAAAAAAAAGCAGGAGTTGCAGTCCTAGTCTCTGATAAAACAGACTTTAAACCAACAAAGATCAAAAAAGACAAAGAAAGATATTACACAATGGCAAAGGGATCAATGCCATGAGAAGAGCTAACTATCCGAAATATATTTGCATCCAACACAGAAGCATCCAGATTCATAAAACAAATTCTTAGAGACCTACAAAGAGATTTAGACTCCCACACAATAATAGTGGGAGACTTTTACATCCCACTGTCAATATTAGACACATCAAAGAGACAGAAAATTAACAAGGATATTCAGTACATGAACTCAGCTCTGGACCAAGCAGACCTAATAGACATCTACAGAACTCTCCACCCCAAATCAACAGAATATACATTCTTCTCAGCACCATATGGCACTTATTCTAAAATCGACCACATAATTGGAATAAAACACTCCACAGTGAATGCAAAAGAACGGAAATTATAACAAACAATCTCTCAGACCACACTGCAATCAAATTAAAACTTAGGACTAAGAAACTCACTCAAAACTGCACAACTACATGGAAATAGAACAACATGCTTCTGAATGACTACTGGGTGAATAACGAAATTAAGACAGAAATAAAGAAATTATTTGAAACCAATGAGAACAAAGATACAATGTACCAGAATCTCTGGGATGCAGCAAAAGCAGTGTTAAGAGGGAAATAGCACTAAATGCCTACTTCAGAAAGCTGGAAAGATCTGAAATTGACACCAGAACATCACAATTAAAAGAACTAGAAAAGCAAGAGCAAACAAATGCAAAAGCCAGCAGATGATGAGAAATAACTAAGATCAGAGGAGAAATGAAGGAGATAGAGACATAAAATCCCTTCAAAAGTCAATGAATCCAGGAGCTGGGTTTTGGAAAAGATTAACAAAATAGACCAGTAGCTAGACTAATAAAGAAGAAAAGAGAGAAGAATCGAATAGACACAATAAAAAATAATAAAGGAGATATCACCATTGATCCCACAGAAATTCAAACTACCATCAGAGAATACTACATACAACTATATGCAAATAAACTAGAAAATCTCGAAGAAATGGATAAATTCCTGGACACATACATCCTCACAAGACTAAACCAGGAAGAAGTCGAATCCCAGACCAATAACAAGTTCTGAAATTGATGCAGTAATTAATAGCTTACCAACCAAAAAAAGTCCAGGACCAGACGGATTCAGAGCCAAATTCTGCCAGAGGTACAAAGAGGAGCTGGTACCATTTCTTCTGAAACTATTCCAAACAATAGAAAAAGACTCCTTCCTAACTCATTTTATGAGGCCAGCATCATCCTGATGCCAAAACCTGGGAGAGACACAACAAAAAAAAAGAAAATTTCAGGCCAATATCCCTGATGAACACCAATGCAAAAATCCTCAATAAAATACTGGAAAACCAAATCCAGCAGCATATCAAAAAGCTTATCCACCACTATCAAGTCGACTTCATCCCTGGGATGCAAGGCTGGTTCAACATATGCAAATCAATAAATGTAATCCATCACATAAACAGAACCAAGGACAAAAACCACATGATAATCTCAACAGACGCAGAAAAAGCCTTTGATAAAATTCAACATCTGTTCATGCTGAAAACTTAATAAACTAGGTATTGATGGAACTTATCTTAAAATAAGAGCTATTTGTGACAAACCCATAGCCAATATCATATTGAATGGAGAAAAACTGGAAACATTCCCTTTGAAAACTGGCACAAGACAAGGATGCCCTCACTTACCACTCCTATTCAACATGGTATTGGAAGTTCTGGCCAGGGCAGAACTTCAGGCAAGAGAAAGAAATAAAGGGTATTCAAATAGAAAGAGAGGAAGTCAAATTGTCCCTGTTTTCAGATGGCATGATTATATATTTAGAAAACCTCATTGTCTCAGCCCAAAAACTCCTTAAGTTGATAAGCAACTTCAGCAAAATCTCAGGATACAAAATCAATGTGCAAAAATCACAAGCATTTCTATACACCAATAATAGACAAGTAAAGAGCCAATTATGAGTAAACTCCCATTCACAATCGCTACAAAGAGGATAAAATACTTAGGAATACAACTTACAAGCACTTTCCCTGAGTGAAGGACCACTTCAAGCAGAACTACAAACCACTGCACAAGGAAATAAAAGAGAACACAAAGAAATGAAAAAAAAAAAAATCCATGCTCACGGATAGGAAGAATCAATATCATGAAAATTGCCATACTGCCCAAAGTAATTTGTAGATTCAATGCTATTCCTATCAAGCTACCATTGACCTTTTTTGCAGAATTAGAAAAAAACTACTTTAGATTTCATATGGAACCATAAAAGAGCCCGTATAACCAACACAATCCTAAGCAAAAACAACAAAGGTGGAGGCATCACGCTACCTGACTTCAAACTATGCTACAAGGCTACAGTA